TTGTATCTGCTGGGTTGATAGTCACAAAGAGTAAGAAAGAAAATACAAAGGAAATTTATTCTTCTTGCATGTAGACTTCATCTCTCATATCAGTTAAACAGAAATATCTCAAAAGAATGAATATTAAACTAGAGAAAATCATTTAAAAGATCAGATTAATATTACAGCAACACAGTGTTTCTTCCCTGACACACTCTTGGTTCTCTCTAAAAGGTCATTTGTCTGCACTACCAAACTCAGAGCTGTATCTTACACTTCCTTTCTCTTTTCCTCAGCACCTAACACAGTGTCCAGTGCATAGCTGGTCCTCAGTTAATACTTGTTGAATAATTAAGATTAAAAAAAAAGAAAACAGGTGGTTATAATGGAGGGGGTGGTGTGAACACCAAGTCAAACAAGATTGAGTGAAATTATTATTCAAGACTACATCAGCTTTCTATTACTGCCGTGGCAAATTACAACTAACTTAGTAGCTTAAAACAATACACATTTATTATCTCATGGTTTTATAGGTTAAAAGTCCAACGTAAATCTCACTGCGCTAAAATCAAGGTGTCAGGTGCACAGCATGCCTTATGGAAGATTTAGGGGAGATTTTCTTGCCTTGCCTTTTTCACCTTCTGCAGGCTACCAGAATTCCCTGCGGAAGGTGAAAAAGGTAATTTCAATGGCAGGTCAAGTCCTTCCGGTGCCGCCATCAGATCGCCCTCTGACCGCAGCCCAAAAAGTGTATCCGATTTTAAGGACCCATGTGATTAGATAGAGTCCACTCAGCCAACCCAGGATGATCTTCCCGTCTCAAGATCCATACCTTTAATCCCATCTGCTAACTTCCTTTTGCCACGTAACATACTCACAGGTTCCAAGGGCTAGAGGGTAGACATCTTTAGGGGACCATTATTCTGCCTGCTACAGGGGAGTCACACAGAATGACTAGAATTACAAAGAAAAAAACAAGCAACTGCTACATGTCTCCGGTCTTCTCACAAGCAGCATGAAATATAAATGCTTAAGCTTTAGGTTTGAATAGTTTCCTAGGTCTATTTTTAAAATGGCTTCTTTTCTCTTAGGATACTAATAATATATGTGAACTCTTAATAGTTTGGAAACGCAAAAAACTTTGAAGTAAAAAAAAAACCACCCTAAATCCCACCAAGCAGTCATAACCAGTTACTATTTATGTGTCTATTCTTCCCATATTATGTAAATGCATATCAAAATTATATATGCATTAAAAATATTAACTTATTCTAAATGATTCTTTAAGTATCCTATTTCCCCTATAAATATTATCCTAAATATGTTCTCATGGCATTAAAGATTTTTCAAAAAAGAGTATTTCTCCTCACTCTACCACATTTGCACCATATTATTGCCTCTGAATTTATGTGTTTATTATCCTATTGTTGAACATAAAAGGGTTATTTTTAGGCCTTTGCATTTATAAATAGTAGGTTTAGAAAAAAGTGTATTCAAAAATCTGTATATACAACTCTGATTATTTCCTTAAGGGTGTAAATGAGGAATTATTGCATCAGAGACCATTTTAAGACCACTGGTATTTGTCACCTCATTTCCCTCCATAATGACTACACCAGATTTACCCCCATGAGCAGTGTACAAAAGTGCCCTTTGCAATGAACTCTGAGCAGTGTTTACCAGTGCTATGGACTAAATTATGGCTGTTTCCCCAAAATTCATATGTTTAAGCCCTAGCCACCAATGTGATTAGATTTGAAGATAGGGCTTTTAGGAGGTAATTAAGGTTAAATGAGGTAATAAGAGTGGGGTCCTAATCCAATAGAATTGGTGGCCTTATAGGAAGAGGAAGAGAGAAAGAGATCTCCTTCACATACATACCACATGCACATGCACCAAGGAAAGGCCACATGAGGACATAGTGAGAAGTCGGCTGTCTCCAAGCCAGCAGGAAAGCCCTCACCAGAAACAGAATTGGCTGTCACCTTAAACCTGGATTTTCCAGCCTCAGGAACTGCAAGAAAATGAATTTCTGTCGTTTAATCTACCTAGTCTATGGTAGCTTTTTATGGCAGCCTGAGCTAATGAGCTAATGAGGTAATGCAATGAAGGGTGAAAAATGATGTCCTTGTTCTATTAATTGGTGATGATTTGATTTCTAGCTGAATGGTCATTTTGTTTACAGGCCACTTTTCACGTCTCTGGGAAAATTCAGAGTCAAATATTTTTGGACTCTAAAACAGAATGTTACAAAAATCATAAGGCATAGAGGACTGAAATTCAACAGCACTTCCACAGAGCTAGAATTGTGTTCTTTAGAATAATGCATTTTTAAATGTCTGCATCAATCAGAACAAATGCTTCAATCCATTTACATAAGCCCTTTTTGATTTTAGTCTCCATTTATCTATTTTTAAAGGCTTAAAGATCTAGCTACAAGAGTACCAAGAAAACTCTTTTGCCTTTGTAGATGAAGTTCACAACATGTGTGCTAAACTATTTGATTCCTTCAAGCACCATATGAGTTAGGTGGTGTTGAGGTTAATTGGGTAGTATGGATGGTGGAAGGAATTGATTGACTTGAAGGACATGAAGATGCAAGGCTAGTGCAAGAAACCATGTGTGAAGCCAGTGCATTTGGAGCCACATGTAGAGGTCACTGAGGCCTTCTCGAACAATTTATAAAATAAGAATGGGTGGGAGGAAATTGAAGACAATTTTACATCCTTGTGACTAGAAAGGAGATGTGAGCTAAGAAGAGAGTTCAAACATGACTAAATGAAGCAGAGGCTAGCAGCCCAGGCAACAATACTCCTTTCTTGGTGGGTAATGACATTATAATGAGTAATTGCAGACAAACAAAAGTCAACAGTTCTTACACGCAGAGTAGCACCTAACGCAGCAAGTAGTACCTAGGGGAAGGTCTGGGGAGGAATTTGAAAAGGGTTTCTAAGATAGGAAAGGGTTAAGTCTTGTTATTGTACGGAAAGATTATATCTACTCAGAGGGATGAGAGTAATCACAAATATACAGTGGTTGTTACGCCCATTATATAGAAAATGAAACTGAGACTCAGAAACCTCAAATAGCTCCCCTAGAGTTACACAATTGTTAGTGCTGAAATGTGAACTCAAACCTTCAGACTTGAAGCTGGAAATGAATTTCCTTGGCTTCAATGTCTCCATCTCAAAAACGACTGTATTTTTGGGAAGATTGCTTCAGAGTTCATGTTCTATTGGCCATTCCACTGATTCTGCATCTCCTTGACAAACGAATCTTGGGCCAAAAGTTCATTGTGGGGACACTGTTGGTGAGTACATTAATTTGATCAGATGTATGCTCATTGGAAATAATATTTAAAATGGTTTACTGAGTTTGGAGGATGCAGATGTTAAATAAATAAAATTGAAATATCCCCTTTCTCTGTTGCCTAGAACTTTACCCATTTCCCTTGTCTCCTCACTAGCACCCTGGTGGCTTCCTCCTACCTCACAATTTCTTTTCATGTTCCTTTGGTGGGTCTTTTGTCTCTGCCTTCACCTCTAAATGTTGAGCGCCTCAGAGGTCTATCCTGTGTCCCGTATCTTTTGTCCACACTCTAACTGGGCAAACTCATCATGTCCAATAGCTTTAAAATATTCACTCCCAGGATTCTAGATTCCTGTATCCAAGAGCCAACTAGATATCACTATGCGGAAGCTTAATAAGTATCTCAAACTCAACATGACCCAAGAGAATTCTCTCTTTTGCCAGTCAGGTTTTTTCCAGTCTCATATATCTCAGTAAATGGTTTTACCACCCACTCAGTGCGCAAGTAATTATTCTTGAGTACTGTTTTATAGCTTCCCTCACCTTCCACACCCAGTACTTCTGGAACAGCAAGTCCCGTGAATTCTATTTTCAAACCACCTCTCAAACCTTTCAACTTTTCCCCATCTCCACTGGTGTCACCACCCTTTGTCACCTGGGGCTAGTACAAAAGCCTCCCAACTAGTTTTCTCTGCTTCCACATGAATTGTTTTGTAAAAATATAAATCACATTAGTTCTGGGCTCAAATCTTTCTGATAACTTTTCATTGCACTTAGATTAAAAATCCATCCTTCTTAATCTAGTTTATAATGTCCTTCATGAGCTAACCTCTGCTGACCTCTGAGACCTCATCTGTCCATTCACCCATTGGCCCACTATCCTCAGCTACACTGGACATTTTTCTATCCTGACACTCACCTAGCTTATTCTTAACTAAGGACCTTGACTCTAACTTAACTCTGTGCCTGGAATGTCCCTCTTCCTCCACATTTTTGTGGATAGCTCCTTCTTGTCATTTACATATCATCTCAAATGTCATGTTTCCAGAGAGACTTTCCCTGACCATCCCATCTAATTAAGGCCTATTTTTCTTACATATTGATTTGAGTGTTTGTTCACCAGAGTAGTTCCATGAGAGCAGGAAGCAGATCTATCTTACTGAGGACACTCCTGGAATCAAGCTATCTGCAGAAGAGGAAACCGAGAATCCAGCCATAGTCTTAGAAGATGGGGGAGTTGCTAATGGAAAGAATCAGTTCTCTGAAAGACTTCACAGAACACATTACCACACTTTCTGACATCCCCTGCCAACCTCATTCGATTGTGACATAGGCAAGAAACAAATCTTGGTTGTGTTTGCCACTGGAATTCCAGGGCTGTTTGTTACAATGGTTAACCTCTTCTGACAAATTTCACAAAATTCCATTTACCCTCGCTTTGCCTCACTACGTATTATTCAGTTTAAGATTCGGTTCACTGTCCTCTAGGAAGCCTTCCTTGACTTCCTTGTGGCTGGCTTTTGTGTTCCCACGGCACCATGTGCACTGTTTCATCACGTACTAACCACATTGTATTATATACTGTCTCCTCATGTGACTAAGTTTTTCCTGAGGTCAGAAACTATATATTTTTCTTTTTTGTGTTTTTATGGCCTATTACAATGTCTGGCACCACAATAAATCTTTGTTAGATAAATAAGCCGTGGACAGCAAGCAGTTCAGGTTTTAATGGAGGGCAACAGTATTTCTTTGCAATGGTTAACAATACTAGTAGAAACATTTAGAATATGAAATGCAAAGTGGGGAAAGGCTTTATGAGTATGAATTTATTTGAATGAAGAAAAATTTCAGTGTTACTTAGGCTGAATAAAGACACAATGATCATTAAGTAATTCTAGAAAACAGAGATAATTCTAGATAAATGATCCTTATAAGATTCCTTTGATTCCTGTTAATTGCAATCCAATACATAAATATTGAAGACTTAGTATGAGCAAATTACTCTTTTTCATATGACAAAGAAGAAAATACTTCTGCCAGTTAACATTTTATAATTCTATGACCTTATGATTCTGAACACCTACGTAAGATATTTTTAAACCTTGACAGTTACATTGGGAGATTTACATCAAGAACCAGCATTATGGAGATAGAATTTGCATGGAGTTCTATCATCAAAGTTTTACTACAAACTGGGGCCACTGGGTCATTTTTAGATACAGACCATTGGTTAGTGGCTTCTCCCCAGAGTGAACTGGATAGTCATGTGCCACTCGGCAATTTTCAAGGTATGAGTTTGTTCTGTTTGATGTTCTGTCAATTTCTCTAGGGGACAAGCAGCCAGATGGTTAATTGCCCTTCCTTAAGCACAGACACACTCACAGAAAAGGTGTGAGGAAGGACCCCTCCGAAAGAGGAGTCTCTCACACAGCAGGCTGAGCTGCTGTACAGAGTTGAGATTGTTGACCCACTGATTGTGCCTGAAAGGCTTTTCAGCCACACAAAACCCTGGGCTTCTCCATTAGCATATCAGAGGTGGCACAGTGGTGGGAAATACTGCAGGCAACAAAGGATGTGGCTCAGTGGCATTGTCTCATTGGTGCTTACAGAAGCAGAAAAAATGATAATCGGGCCAGAGTTGCGGTGATGGACAGATGTTGACATATTTTCTTGGGCGACCAATGTCTTCCACTCCCCCTCCATCAGTTGATCCATTCTCAAGACTCCCTACCCCTCCAAGGCACAGTTCCTCAACCAATACACAAGGAAAAGCCACGACAGAATCAAAACCTCTCTTGAGCTGAAACGAAGACACAGTTTCAGCTTTAACTTGAACCATGCCTGGAAGGGATTTGTCATTTTTCTCAGACTTGAAAGTCTTATATGGAACATAACTTGATGATAAATAGGAGAGTCAGCTGCCAGTTACTAATACCATCATAGAGACTGAGTCACTGTTGATGTCACCGCGCCTCTTTGCAGGATCAGCCATCTTATTATTTTATACTGAAAGGGAGAAAAGAGGTTTAGTGAAAAAGTCATTTTACATTCTTATTGTCCTAAATTATTTCCCATCTCTGAAGTTTGAGACCAGTGTTCTATGCTCTATAGCAATGGCTCTCAACTGGAGGTGATTTTGACCCCCAGGAATTGTGGCAATGTTTGGAGGCATTTTTTTGTGGTCACAATTGGGTGAGGGGGTGCCACTGGCATTTAGTGGATCGCGGCCAGGGATGCTGCTAAAGATGCTACTATGCACAGGACAGCACCTATGATAAAGACTTATTTGGCTCAAAATGTCAATAGTGCTGAGGCTAAGGAATTCTATGGCCTTCTTTGTGAAGCTAATTTACAAATTCTTACTGAGTCAAATTGCTATTGATAAATGGGCACCTTGAGGCACTTATAGCCCCATGCTCACTATATTGATTTAGAATATTGAACAGTTCTTGACAAAGAACAGGGCCGAAATTAAAATTTCTTATCCTTGGCTGCAATATTGAAAGATTTTATCTAAGCAGTGGGTGTAAAGTTTGAGAAAATTGTATATTGAGCACTGAGGGGTAAAAATTTTCCTACATGCAGTAAATTGACTTTCTTACAGCCAACAATATGTCTTTTACTTCACGCTCAGCTGAGTCTTAAATATGCTCCAAATGGCATAAAATTTGATTGAAGAATTCTTCCTCCTCACTTGGAAATATTTATAACCTCTTGGAAAATGACACACTGGGACACACTATATGTTGTTCAATTATATATATTATATATAACATTAATTACATATATAATATCAAATTTACATTTAAAGTCACATGTATTAGGTTTGTGTTTACCATGTTCGCTTGACTTAAATTTTTTTTCAGCTCAATATTTACAAATCAAAATATTTGTAATTGTATGTATACATATATATGTCTAGATAGATAGATATGTCTAGAGAAACATATATTGTTTTCCTTAGGTGCAAGTTATTCTATCCAGGTAACTACATGTTGACCAAACCACTCCAGATCTAAAGCACTAAAGATTATTGGTCACTGGTTGTTATATCCATTAGTATACAATTTTGATAACTGTCTTTTCCACAGGTTAAAGTAGATTTTGTATGCCAGTAAAATAATTGCGGATGATTATAATGGACTTTATAAAGAAGAATATAAAATGGAGACCAAATTAATTGTCTCAGTTTACCTTCAACTATCTTAAGTTATGGTCTACATGATACACATGTTTTGTTCTTAAAATTTTTTGATTAAAATTACCCTATTGTATTAGAATTCATCAAGCCTAAAGCACTTTCAAATTCACTTCACTCTCTGATGAAGACACTTTACCATTTGTAAAAATATTTTTGCTTCCTGTAAAGCACAGTGTTATGTATTCCAACACAGTGGTTCCTATCAGAATCAATTGGGTCCTAAAGGCATACTCATTTCTTAGGCCCTGCTCAGACTGGTTGAATCAGAATATAAGAGGATAAGGCCCAGGTATTGATATTAAAACAAGCAAAACAACAATAACCCCACACATACACGCGCGCGCACACACACACTCACACACACACACACGCCAGGCCATTCAAACATACTGCCATGGTGGGAAGGCTGGCTGAAAACTCAGATCTAAAGCACAGACTATCGTAGGCAACAGAATTGGCAGGTAAACTGGGAAAATATTGCCCCATAGAGATAGTAGGGACATTTCCCTGTTTTGGCCTTGAGGGGAGGTGGAGGGCAGGAATAGCCCAGGAGAATAAGTTTGGTATGCAACAATTTAGCAATGATTCACTTTTTAAATTGCCATCCTGTATGATAAAGTCTTCCTGGGGAACTATAATGCAAGAATGCTGGGATCCAGGTGGGGTTTTTAGTTCTGGCTCTTTCCCCACCAGCTGTGGGTGAGCTCTGTGGGTGAGCTCTTCCTTTACTCTTCCCAGCCTCAGTTTACTCACCTATAAAATGAGGGGGCTTGGTTATGATTTCTACTGTTTCTGTTCAACATAGAAAAATAGCTAGGAGTCATAATTATGAACTTAGAAAAAATTAAACAGTTTAACATTGTATATTTTTCATAAATTCATAAAGCGCTGTATGGTAAAATGAAAAAGAATTTATAAAGGATTTTTTGGCAATTTGTAATTCAGACATAAATTTGATCATATCAGGAAAATGGGCCTAGTGTTTTGGCTGTTTTCTACAGCTAAATATGTCTCATACTGGAGATTAGCAAATTTTTCTGTAAAGAGGCAGATAGCAATTATTTTAGGCTTTGAAGGGTAGGCCACAGAAAAGAAAATTGCAAAACCTTTAAAAATATATATCATTAAAAAATGTGAAAAATAGGGCCAGGGACAGTGACTCATGTCTATAATCCCAACACTTTGGAAGGCTGAGACAGGATAATTGCTTGAAGCCAGGAGTTTGAGACCAGCCTGGGCAACACAGCAAGATCCTGTCTGTACGAAAGTAAAAAATAAAAACAATTTGCCCAGTGTGTTTGCACATACCTGTAGTCCCAGCAATTATGGAGGTAGAGGCGGGAGGAAAGCCTGAGCCCAGGAGTTTGAGGCTGCAGCGAGCTATGATTACGCCATAGAACACCAACCTGGGTGACAGAGCAAGACCCTGGCCCCTGTCTGTGAAAAACAGGTAAGGGCAGGGTTTGATGATCCCTGTGTTAAACAATTAGAACATATATTTGGATAAAAACAAAATTACTTGCTTTTATATAACAACAGTTGTTAAAAGCTATTGCTATAGGGAGAGATTGAACCCAGGCAATAAGGAGACCTGCTGAAGAAGTTTTTACTCAAAGCCTGCATGGAAGCCACCATCATGTGCCCCCATGACAAACTCATCCTAGTTTGCCAGCGACTGGCCCAGTTTAAGCACTGAAAGTCTCAAGTCCCAGGAAATGAGGATGACTGGTTATTTTACATCTGTGACTCCTGGAAAGGTTTCTTTACGGAACATCTAGGATCAAATTGAAAGGGAAAAAGCTTCAGATGGAAATGCTTTCAGGAGCTTTACCATATAAACAACAGGCAAAGATCCCAGCTGGAAAACTTTAAAGGGAAAAATTGTAAGAGAATATTTGCAGTATTTTTTTTTTGGCTTGAGCTCAATGGATTCTAAATCTACCTACCCATGAACAGCATCAGTTCAACAGGCTGTAGATGAGGAAAGTGCTTATTCACAAGGTGTGTCAGGTCTTTTTTGTAGAATCAGTTTATACATCCTCTGGATATGATAAATCCTGGGCATTATGATGAAACACAGCCCAACGTTACTACTCAGAAGTTACAGGATTTAGAATTATTTCCTAGGTTTGCCCGAAGAGGACATGTGACATGAAACTAGCTGTGACCCTAATTATGAATGTAAAGATTACTGGTAGAGACTACCTCTGAAACAATCCAGAATAAAGTAGGAGCAATTTTCTCAACATATTATTATGTGCATCTGTGATATTATTGTAATTTGAATCTTTAAGACTAGAAGCTCAAAGCTCAAAAGGTGATTTACTCTGAGGAACTTGTCTTGAAATTAAGTACACGAGAAGCTGTGTTATAATCACATGGTTTTCCAGTTGTACTTCATCCAAACAGGAATCCTTCTTAAAATATAAATATTAAAAAGCAGATCTAATACTTCAAAAGAGGATGCCATCAGCTAAAACAAAATCAAGAATATAATTTAGAACCTTTTACAATATTCTTTCATTTTTTCAGTTTATCAAAATTTTAATCCCGTGTTTGAAGCTTCCAATGTGTTCTTTATGATTCACCCTATTTGGGGTCATAAAAGCACCTTTTGGCCGGGTGTGGTGGTTCTCTCCTGTAATCTCAGCACTTTCGGAGGCCAAGGCGGGCAGATCACTTGAGGTCAGGAGTTCAAGACCAGCCTGGTGAATATGGCGAAACCCTGCCTCTACTAAAAATACAAAAATTAGCCAAGCATAGTGGTGGGTATCTGTAATTCCAGCTACTTGGGAGGCTGAGGCACGAGAATCACTTGAACAGCTAAGGCAAAGGTTGCAGTAAGCTGAAATCACACCACTGTACTCTAGCCTGGGCAACAGAGCAAGATCCCATCTAAAATAAAATAAAATAAAATAAAATAAAATAAAATAAAATAAAATAATAAAATAAATGCACCTTCTTTTCTGGGCTTCAGGTCAACTTGCAATCAAAAGCCAGTGCTTCCTTTAAAGCTGTGACTATAGGTAACTCTGTTTAGAAAGTATTTCAGCAGAATTATTGACACTGGAAAATACTCAGCATCTAAATGGGCCTTCTTTCCTTCTGCATGGTATAAAATTGAGGGAAAAAAGGGGAGACCTATTTAGGTAGCAGTTTGATGTTTTAGTTCTACAAAAAACACAGTGACAAGTGTCCTTTTCTAGATGAAAACAAACATTTTCTTTTGCTCTAAAGAGAATGGATGTAGCATTAGGAACTCAAACCACGAAAGTTCAGAATGGTTTAAGTGTTTGTAAGGAAAGGAAAAAAGGACCAGGGGCCGTTAGGGTGCACTGAGCATGGTCTTGGAGGAATTTTAAGGAAATAGAAAGTATTGCTTCACCTCCTTTTTCCCGGAATGTGTCAGTGTGTATTGCCATATAAATATATTAATAAATATGCATGCAATATCTGTGTTAAAGGTTCTATTAGTTCCTACTTACCTACCCCTATTCACTCAAATCCAAAAGACAAGTGGACATCAACTTCCTTTTTTTTTTTTTTTTTTTTTGAGATGGAGTCTCGCTCTGTTGCCCAGGCTGGAGTGCAGTGGCCGGATCTCAGCTCACTGCAAGCTCCGCCTCCCAGGTTTACGCCATTCTCCTGCCTCAGCCTCCCGAGTAGCTGGAACTACAGGCACCCGCCACCTCGCCCAGCTAGTTTTATGTATTTTTTAGTAGAGACGGGGTTTCACCAGGTTAGCCAGGATGGTCTCGATCTCCTGACCTCGTGATCTGCCCGTCTCGGCCTCCCAAAGTGCTGG